TTAAGACCAGGTTCCAGGGACTTACATAAAATAGCATGTTCCTTATTATTTTGAGAATTCTGAAGTACACCATCTGTTCCTCTCTGGCTAGCTACAGTTAGTTTATGCCTAGCACTCCTTCATTCATACCTGTCTCATTGTCTTAGCCATTTATCTGATCTAAAACTGGGGGACACAATTTGTATGTTGAAATAAAAGTCTAGACACACAAATATTTGCTGTCATTTAATCTCTATGGAGACAAACATGAATCTCAAATATAAATTAAACCCAGAGAGAGAGGATTGTTCTGATCTTAAAAAAAAAAAAAAAGTGCAAATTATTTTGTATTGAATTATTGGGTAATAAGTAATTGCAAAAATTAATAAGCATTTGGTTTTGGTTTTTATTTATATTTTAGGAAATGAAACAAAAATGGCAATATATTTTAGAAACATAGTCCAGGCTGTCCTTTGATGTTCAAAAATTATTAGCATGATTGAATATTTTTAATGGTCAAATTGTCACCACCAGGAAATACCAAGAATCAGAATTTTTAGATTTTTTTTTCTTAATGTTGTTTTTGATACTATGAGTGAGTTTGAATTGTATCATTTTCATCTGTGCTAAAAAAAAGTTAATGGTCTTTCCCTGCATTTTTGCTTGACAGTATATTTTGGTTTGATAACACACTGCTTACCTATAAAGAACCTTGCTTTGGGCAATTAAAAAATGCAGGATGAGAATGACAAAGTAACCTCTATTAATGAAGACTAAGAATGAGAATTGGAGAATTTTAATATTTCAAGGAGGATTCATGAACTCAATTCTGAAAAGTGTTTCCCAAACTTTTGACATATGTGTACCCCTTCTATAATTTTCGTAACGCTGAGTACCCCTTGTCAAAAATAAAAATAAAAAATGGATGTATTAGGCGCAGCTAAGCACAGTGAAGTGCATACCCCCACCAAACTCTTCCCGTACCCCTGGGGGTATGCATACCACACTTTGGGAAACACTGATATATAGCAATATAAGAATTGTAAAGCCCAGGGTGACCAAAAAGTCTACTACACTTTTATTAAAAGTCTTAATGTTAGCATGACTTATTGCTCTGAAACAATTTCTACGTGGAGCATTAGCTCTTTAATAGTGATTAGTTTACAAGATTGTCCATAGATTCATGTTCACATTGCCAGGAGCAGAAGACAGTAAAGGAATGGGGCAGATTCTGGCTATGCTTTGAAGTGAGCCTCTACAGAGCTGGTTGGACACTTCAGTAGTTGTATCTACATCAAAGATAATGATTGGGAAGGAAGCAGAAACACAGCAAAAGAACACATAAAAAGAGGTATAAGGAAATTTATCATAGAGTGCAGTGGGAAAGGAATTTAGAATCAAGAGACTTGAGGTTGAATCTAGTTTTAACATGTCAAATACCATTGAGAAACCTTCTTAAATACATAGAAATTAACTATTGTCATTATTTGCCGTATGGCTCTGTCTTTTAGTTAATGAAATATATATTTATTCTGGATTAAAATATTAAAATAATAATAATGACATGAAGTTAATTTGCAAATCAAAACCCAGTTTCTGTTTCTAATCTACTGAAATGGTAGGTGGATTAAATTTTGAACATAAGCTAACAAAGACTTCATAAAAATGTCAGAATGCCTTGATCATTTCAATTCATTAAGCAAAGTACTGCTGTTTCAACATCAATACGTACTTGGCATCATTACAGGAAAAGAACAATTGTATTTCTACATCTCCTTCCAATTGGAAATAATTATTGCAAATAAAGATGCTTCCTTACATGCAGATGAGACATTTCTTTAAAACTCTGCCCATTAAACATGTCATTTATAGAAATATTTCTCTGAGGAAAGCTTTCCTCTAAGTAAAAAACTGTGAAGTCTTTAGAAAAACTAAAGATTTTGATTTTGTTCAGTTTATTAACTGTAGCCATTTTGACTACTTCTACTTTCTGAAAACAAAATAAATGTTTCCCTATATCAGTTTAGAGAACAGAAGAAAAGCTTAGATGGCAAAGTTGATTCTTCCAAAATTTCCCCCAGAAGTATACGTTAGGCATTCAAAAATTAAATATCTCAGCCAAGTTATATAGTGATGCTACTAAAAAAAGGAGATTATACTAAATGCTGTAATTATATTTTAGGGAGTAAACAAGTCATGTCATATCTGGTTTATTACATATATTAATTCAAGATTATTTTACCCACATGGAAAGCTCATTTCCTTTTAATCTATGTTCCTGACTCACCAAGCCAATGGACTCTTCATTGATGATTTATAGTATCCTGAATATCAAAGCTACACCTATCACTAAAAATTACTAACTTTAACAATAATAATTATTTTGCTTATTAAGTAAACATTTAATACATACTTTGTTTCAGCATGTTTTAAGTGCTAGGAACTGAGTATTAGACTTATGGAGAAGAAATAAATAGCGACTTTACCCTTAAAGTTTTAAAGTTACTTTATTTGTTGTTTTCTTTTAGAGTATAGTGGGTAGAAAGCACAAAACAATTTGAAAAGAGCAACAGGAGTATTTTTCCCAAAAGCACCATATTGGAAAGGCAGATGCTGCCTCGTTGGAGAAGTAGTGTTGAAAAGTAGGCTTAAAGTTCAGTTAAAATAGGTGTTTTCTTACAACCGCTCTTCTACTCTGCTGTTATGAGTTTAAGTATTTTTAGAGTCCACATTTAGACTAGGATGTAGGGAAAATGGGAAGATGTTAGTCAAATGGTACAATATTTGGGTTATGTAGGATGAATAAATTCTTGAGATCTAATCTTTAAAAATTAGAAACAAAAAAAGCAATTTTAAAAATGGATACATTGCAGATGAAAACAACTGAGTCACAGAAAAATGCAGAAACTTTCTCAAGTGTACGCAGCTAGTAAAGGGCAAGACCCATGTGCTAATCTGTTCTGCAAAACCATCTGCAAATGCATTTTTCTGTTGAATACTCAGCCAGGGATCCCAATCGTTCTCAAGTTGAATGTGATCAAGGACAGTGGAGGAGGAGTGAAAACTTCTTATTTATTTACTCCTCCTGGACTTATAATTAAGATACTGGCTCTTCTTCATACTAAGAGAATGCAGTAAATGTGCTGAATAGGAGTAAGACTGGGAGAGGCTGAATTTTTAGTTGTTTTGCTTTTGTGTATGCTGCTTCTGGTGCTTTTCCCCCAATCTTTGTTGATCAAAGAAAAGCAAATTTATGGTCCCCAGAGAGATTGTGAGCATCAATAAAAAACAACTCTAAGACACACTTAGGTCTCTGTTAAACAATAATTAGTCTCAACTGTTCCAAAGAAATTATGGTATCAATATATTTTTCTTCCAGCATCCCCAACAGGTAAGTCAGACACATAGAAAACAGGAGTGTGGGCTGATACATTTTTATACTAATTTATAAGATTTATTAAATGTCAGGGCACTAAGGTTATTATGGGAAATAAAAAGCACTGAAATGCAAACGTTTTGAAATAGCTCTTAAAAGTACAATTTGGAATCCTTATTTATTAAATCAATAAAACAAATGGAAAATAAGCCATGGTGTATATTCATTAATTCTGTGGAACAAACTACATATTGAGGTTTATATTAAAATCTAATTTAAAGATAAAACATTTTTTTCTTGCCATCAACATGATAGGTTTATTTTAAATTATAAATTACTCTTTCATAATATTTGATATTTTAACAGAGAGGATTTTTACACTTTAAATTATAAATTTTCATCTATTGGTTTAGGTATATAGGAATTCATACCCTCTTCCATGCTATTTTGGGGGGATGGCATATCAAGTGGCCTGTTTTGAGAGGGTTTGAAATCTTTACTCTCTTTTGTACATAAATAATTTTGTGTTAGAGGACAAAATTAAAGTGTCAATAATCTGTAAAATAACAATGTATGTATTTTTAAAGTAAAATGTAAAACTTATTTCCAGAACTAGACCCCATTTAATCCAAACTCTCAGTTTACAAAAGAAGAAACAGACTCAATAAATTACTATCTTTTCCCAAATTATAAATCTAACTATTGGTAGAATCAAGTTTATATTTCAAGTTCTAAGTGTTTTACTCCAAGATGACTTTTCTGAATTTGTTTTTACTTGTTATTTATTTCAAAAATAAACACACACACACACACACCAACCAAACAAACAAGACACAACAAAACAACAAACAAACAAACAGAGGCCCAAAATAGTGTCACTTGTGCTAAAGCCATTGATGTCAAATCTAGATTTAATACCTTACCTAACTGCTGCTTCAACCTCTCCTGGAAATATAATCTTAATCAGCCAGTCTGAAATTATATGCAATCTGCATGATAAAAACCCCTGCTGCTCACTTCTGCTCAAAAGGAGTTCTGTTATAAAATAGACCTTTCTTTTTTCATTTGTTAATAGCTCCCTTACCCCACTCTTCTTCCTAAAAGTCTTCCATTTTTACAGCCCTTAGAGGCCCTTTGTTATTTTTTAAATATATATTTTTATTAATTTCAGAGAAGAAGGGAAAGGGAGAAAGAGATAGAAACAACAATGAGGAGAGAGAATCATCTATCGGCTGCCTCCTGCATGAACCCTATTAGGGCTTGAGCCCACAACCTGGGCATGTGCCCTTGACCAGAATTGAACCCAGGCATACAGCATGGCCTGCCTGGTCCCAGGCAAGTACAGCAGCTCCCCGTGCCTGCCTCCAGAGTCCCCCTGTCCCCTCAGCTCCCCAGATGCCCTGGGCCAGCCTGAGGTGCAGGCAAGCCTTGGATGGCAGCTACCCAGACGCCCAGGGCCTGCCTGATGCTCAGGTAACCATGGCCAGCCCAGGCTTGCGCTGCTGGCAGTAGTAGCAACAGAGGTGTGATGGGGGCGTTGCCTTCCCCTGACCTCAGTGTCGAAGGTTCCCAGACTGTGAGAGGGAGCAGGCCAGTCTGAGGGAACCCCCTGCAGTGCATGGATTTTCATTCACTGAGCTTCTAGTATCTATATAAAATAATACAAAACAAAAACCCTTCTGGGGTTTTTAGTGGTGGTTGAGCTATTCCCACATGTGGGCATCACAAAAGAAGCCATGGCTCACACCAAGGTGGGATGAGCTCCTTGACCTGTAGGAGGCATCCTGCTTTGTTTCAGGACCCCTCCCCAGCTGTATTGTCTCGTGGCAGTGAAATGTCTCTGCATCAGGTCCAGGGGGGTCTTTCACTGTGTGTGAGTTCTGAATCATGTTCCGGTTGCTTGGCCCTGCCACTTGGGCCCAGAAAGCATTTTGAGCATAACTACTACATCTTTTTCAGATCAGTATAATAAAGGAGTGACATGCAATAAAAAAAAAAATTTTTTTTTTACATTAGAAAGATTAAAAAAAATACTTTAAGTAACCAGAAAATTAAATATACTGAAATAGTAAATTTTAGAAAGGGAAGAGTTTTGCTTATGTTAAATGTAGCCTTGGGCATTATGAATTTCAATGTTTTCTAATACTTTTTAAAATGTATGTTTGCCTAACTTTCAACAGGTGGAGTGCACAAAAGGCAACTAGGCTTTATGAGAATGAGATGAACCATGTGTCTGAGTTAATTAGTTATCTCTGTGCCTAAAATGTTTTTCCTAACTCCTTTGTCATAGTTTTGTCCCACTCCATGCCTTCCCCCACTTATTCATAGGCCTTCACACAGCTGAAGAAACATTTTTAATAAAATCCAGTTTAAATGCCACATTTAAAATGTTTTCTCTGAAGAAATAATTAGTAAACCTATTTTTTTTACAAAGTAGCTATCATGTAATTTTTGATTAATTGTAATGTCAATATAAGAAACATTCAAACCCATAGAATTTTTTAGTTTATTTGAGCCAAACTGCCTACAATTGCCAGGAAGCAAAATCTTAACAAATTGAGATAATGCTCTGGAGAATGGCAGTTTTGCACTTTATTTTATACATTACAATCCATTTTATACAAGAAATCCATTGGTGCTAGAATAAAGAGGCAGGAGAAAGCAAAGTGGAGAAACCTCTGGTATTGGCTAAAAATTCAAATGATAGACACATTCTTCTTTCACATAGGATGGTTACCAGTCAACAATCTTCCATATATATAGAAGGCTAAGTGACTGACAGTCTGTCCGTCCAACTGACCAGCTGGTAAACATATGACATATTTAAAATAAACGTTGACGTGTGCATGTGCGAGACATATATAGCTCTCCATTATTTTTATATACATTTTACTAATTTTCTTTCATCTCTGACACCTCTATTATAGAGAAAGGACAAATAGCATTATTAAAATATTTTGTATTTTAATTTTATAATACTATATTATATATACCATTTTGACATGTAATTTTTTTGCATTGTACAGATATGGGGAATAAATGAGACTATGCACAAATCTTCCTTCTAATTAATTTCCTTTCAATGTGCATGAATCTGTGCATCAGACCACTAGTTAACTCAATAACAACGTGGGGGTTTGTGGTCTCCACAGAGCAGTGTCTGTGCTTTGAGGGGTCCAAAAATAGGAAAATCACTTTGGCATTCCAAGGATATGTTACTGTAAGTGCAAAAAGATAATAGACAGGCTCAGTTAAGGTAAAGATTGACTATTGTCAGGAAAGATGCTGGCCTAGGACACAACTATCCACCATAAATTGCTTTTAGTTTAAAACGTTTTAAGTTCAGAACATTTTTTTGTGGTTAGTTTAGGTCTCTGAGTTTGCAAGGCCGCCAGGCAGGCCTTCCCTGAGTGAGTCAGGCTAGCCCATGACCTCGTACTGGCTGCAGAAAAGATTCAAGAATATTAGCAGTGTTATAATTTGATTGGGCAATAGAATATTTTTCAAATTACATTTGCACATATATACATTTAAATGCTTTAAAAAGCTAAAAATGAAAACTTATTAAACCAAACCACATTTTTCTAATAAACAATAAGTGATATTCTAACTACAGCACTTTTGTTAAGTCCACTGCATATTTTGAAATCATGGGGACAAACTGGTCAATGAATCTAGGTTTGAAGAGTCTTCTGTGAAATGTTTGCAAGGGACCAGATGTCCACTCTGTTCCTCCACCCTCTGGCTTTGAGATTTGGGGGCAGTTAACATCTAAACTGTAATTTCTTTTTCTTTTTCTTTTTAATATATTTTATTGATTTTTTATAGAGAGGAAGGGAGAGAAATAGAGAGCTAGAAACATTGATGAGAGAGAAACATCGACCAGCTGCCTCTCGCACGCCCCCCACTGGGGATGTGCCAACAACCAATGTACATGCCCTTGGCCGGAATCGAACCCGGGACCTTTCAGTCCGCAGACCAACACTCTACCACTGAGCCAAACCGGCTTTGGCAAAACTGTAATTTCTTTACCTGTAAAATGAGAGCATGATAGTAAACCCCTCATTGTACAGATATGGTAAATAAATGAGACTATGCCTTTGACATGCATAACAGGCTGCCTGATACAGTGTTTTTTTTTCTATAAATGTCAGCTACTTATTTAACACCTTATGGGTAAAAGTTAATTTGTGATAATTTTAAGAAAAGATTCTAATGATCACCTGATTCTTCACAACTAGATGAGGAGGAGCTACTGTTACTTGGTAGGTTGAGGCCAAGAATGGTGCTAAGCTCCCCCCAATACACAAAAAGGCTCCACAACAAAGAATGATTTAGCTTCAACTGTCAGTAGGGAAAGGATGGTGACTGAGGAACTGGAGGGTTATAAGGCACCACGGAGCACCCGGCTGAGATTCCGATATTATAGTGCCCAACTGCATTATGGAGAGATGCCCTCTGGTAACTAGCAGTATTTGGTACCCTGGCTCTAGAAAGTTGACCCACAGTCAGATAGATCTGATTGGGGTAGAAAGGTGTGTTTAGCCGGTTAGGGTGAAAGAACAAAGGGATAAGAATACTGAGGGTGCAGGCCAGAAAACTTCTGAAATAATGCATGGAGTCTGGACTGAATTACATGGTTTATAGTCACTCATTAAAAATTGTTTAATGAGAGTGTAGACCAATGACAAGATAGGTACGAATTGAGTGATGAATGAATGAACAGGAAATTAAATGTCCTCATTGACCAAAAAAACAAAACAACACCATATAATATGCATTATACATGCATTATACAATACATGATAAAAATGAGTCTAACCTATTCATCATTGCTTGTGACTTCTTTTAATGTCTTGAATTGATCCTCATGTACAAACTGTCTGCCTAAGAAAATATTTTTTATCAGAAAGTATCATTCTTTTTTGACATCTTGAACATTAGGAAATCAAATTTAACAATAGAAAATAATTATAATTGAGAGTAGAAAAGGCATCAAGTCAAGACATCATATGCTTTACTCCAAAATTTTAAATATCAGGAAAGAATAAAAGTGTTTGTGGATATATTTTATTTAAGTGAAATATTTGAAGCTATTAAATACATCTAAAAGCTTTAGGTATTTTTCTTATTAAAAGAAAAACATGGTCATAGAAATGTTCTTATCAAATTTACTTTTCCATAGATCTAGAATAGAGAGGCAGGAGAAAGCAGAGTGGAGAAACCTCTGGTATTGGCTAAAAATTAAACTGCTTTTACCACTGTTTTATGTTTTTGAAATAGCAATACACTTTCATAGCTTTTCAATCAAAATGGTAATAATAAATTTAGGAATTTATTGATCGGAAGACAATCAATAATGGCTCACTGGGAGAATAACTTATACAAATATTTTAAACTATTACGTAACATGAAAAATTATACATTTCAATGATTTATGTATTTGTGTATAAATACCATGATGTATTTATGAATACACATTTAATGATTTATGAATTTGGCATTTTCCATCATTCTAATAATAAATGCCTTTTGACAAATGTATTAATTTATCTATAAATAATGAGATTATCATTAGACTAGAGGCCCGGTACATGAAAATTTGTGCACTGGAAGGGGGAGTGGGGTCCCTCAGCCCGACCTGCCCCTCTCACAGTCCAGGAGCCCTCAAGGGCAGGACGCAACCTGGCAATCAGGGAAAAGTGATGCCCCATCACACTTCTGCTGCTGCCATTGCCGGCAGTGTAAGCCTCAGTGGGCACTGGTTACCTGAGCCTCTGGTGGCCCTGGGTAGCTGGGAATCTGAGGGGACTGGGCACCACATCTTGTGGCTGTGGGCACCACCATCTTAGAGGGTGGGGCAGTCAATTAGCATATTCCCTCTTTATTAGATAGGATAAAAGGTTATCATAATTTCTAGAACATATATACTTACTGAATAAAATAAATGGACATTATTACAAGAAGAAAGAAAGAATTACTTAGTTTGTGATCAATACTATGCCACAGTATAATTCTTATGCAAATTTTAAGTGGATTTATTAAGCACTTACAAAATATTCCATGATTAACAAAAGACTTTCAGAGGAAATGCTGAAACAATGTTTTCAAGGGAGTAGATCCAACCACATTAGGTCTATTGTTCCAACAGTTACTGTGTGTTGTGTTACAGCAAATGACTTCAATGACTGCGGTTAGACAAAGGGATTCTGAAGAGTCTGTGTCCAATGCCCTGTTGATTTGTTGCTTTTGACTGCTTAACATATATGTACTTATTCATGCATATTCACCTCAAAATCAACATGTGACTCTTGGTATTACATATTAATCTGAAGAATGTGTTAAAACAGACTGAATCTTGCATAATAAATAAAGTGTGGAAATTTTTTTTCAGTTTTGAAAAATGCAGATTTTATTTTTTTTTAAAAGTTTTTATTCATATGTGTACCAATGGATTAATTCTAAATCTTCTAAAGTTTTATTTTGTTCATTTGATTTCATTTTTCCATTATATTATTACAACTACTTATTTTTAAAAATTTTTTATTGTTGAAAGGTTTATATATATATCCCCTTTTTCCCCCATTGACCCCCTTTTAGCCTGTATCCACACCCCACCACAAGCATTCACCACCCTATTGTGTGTCCATGGGTTATGCATATAAGCATACAAGTACTTTGGTTTATTTCTTCCCATCTACCCACCTCCACCTTCACAATTACTCTATAAAGAATTATGTATCTCTGCCAAAACTGGTTTGGCTTAGTGGATAGAGCGTCAGCTTGCGGACTGAAAGGTCCCAGGTTCGATTCCAGTCAAGGGCATGTATCTTAGTTGCGGGCACAGTCCCAGTAGGGGGTGTGCAAGAGGTAGCTGATTGATGTTTCTCTCTCATCGATGTTTCTAACTCTCTATCCCTCTCTCTTTCTCTCTGTAAAAAAATCAATAAAATATTTTAAAAATTTAATTATGTATCTCAATAACAACATATTTAATAT